AAGAAAGAAAAAAGAGCTCGTGTAAACCAAAGAATGAAAAAAAAAGAATATAAATATTGAAAGAGGATAATAAGTGAATGAGAGAAAAAAAATGAAAAAAAAAAAACAGAAAAAATTTTTAAAAAAATTATTAGAAAAGAAAAGGATACCTGAAAAGAATGAAAAAAAACATCAGAATTAATGTTTGTGTATTCGATATGAAAAAAAATAAAAGAAAAAGGAAAAAAGAGAGTAGAAAGATTTAAAAAAGAACTTATGCTAAGAAAGAAAAAGAAGAAATTATTAATGAAAAAAACAGAAAAAAAAGAAAATTAAAACCTGAAAAAAAAAAAGAAAAGAAAGGTTAAAAAAAAGAAAGAAAGCTTCTGTATCTTGTAACCGTTTTCCCCAATGGTAAAAATTGAAATAAATAAAAAATAGAAAGCAGGAAAAGGAAGAGAAAAGTCTTTTATAAAAACAGAAAAATTTTGAAAATACAAAAAGAAAGAAAATGAAAAATTTTAAAAAAGAAAAGCGTAAAAGGAGAAAAGATTTTTTAAAAAAGGATAAAAAAAGAACCATAAAGAAAAAACCCTAAAGGAGAAGGCAGAAAAGAATGGAGAAACAGGAAGAAAAAAATCTGAAAAGAAAGAAAAAAGAAAACTAGACTAAACAAGAAAAGAGGGAAAAAAGAAAGAAAAAGAATGACTCTTGTGAAAAAAGGAATGGTGGGAAATGTTTTTGTGAGGAAAAGAAAAAGATAAAAAAAGAGAGAAAAAAAAAAGAAAAGTACTAAACTCAGAGAAAAGAAAAGATGTGAACTGAAAAAAGAAATGGAAGAACAAAAAAACAATAAAAAAAAAATAAAGGAAAGGAAAAAAAAAAAAGAAACATGACATAATAAAAAAACAGTAGATGAGGAAGAGTCAAAATAAAAAAGAGAAAAGAAGTTAGGAAAAAAGCCCAATGTTGAAAGAAAGGAGGAAAAAAGAAGGAAAAGAAAAAAAAAAAATGTTCCCAAAAAAAAAAAAAAGAAAAAAAGAAAAGATCGAAAAAAAGAAAAATGAAAAAAAAACCCCAGAAATGAAAATGAAATGGAAAGAGAAAAATGAAAAAAAACAAAAGAAAGAAAAAAAAAAAGAATGAAGAAAATTGAAAAGAAAAAGAAAAAAATTAACTGGGAAAAAAAAAGAAATCAGTAAAAAAACTTTTTTTTTAAAAAAAAAAAAAAAGAAAAATGGTAGGAAAAGAATTAAGAAAAAAAAAAAAAAGAATAAAGAAAAAAAATTTAATGAAAAAAAAAAGAGAGAAGGTTTGATTAAGAAAGGGAAAAAGAAGAAAGAGAATAAACAAAAAAAGAATGGTAGGAAAAAAGAGAGAAATGTATTAAATAAAAGGGAGAAAAGGAAGAAGAAATTTGTAGAAAGAAAAGGATAATAAAAGAATGGTAGGAAAAAAGAGAGAGAGAAGGTGTGTATTAAGAAAGGGAGAAAAGAAAAGAAAATGTTTAAAATAAAGGAACGAAAGAATGGTAGGAAAAAAAAGAGAGAGGTGTGTTACATCTACATGGAAAAGGAAGAAAAAGGTTTAAAAAATAATAAAAAAAAGGGAAAAGTAGAGATCACCATTAAAAGGGAAAAAAGATTAAAAATAAAAATAAAAAAAAAAAAATCTGAGGAAAAATAAAAAAATAAAAAAAGACAATTAAATTAAATAAAAAAAAAAAATAGAAAAAAGAAGAAAAAACCTATCTAAAAAGCTAAATGAAAAGATGAGAAAAAAAAAAAAAAAAAAAATAGTATTGGAAAATGACTTTTAAAAAAAATGAAATCATCAAAGTAATGGAAAGAGCTTATTAATCTGAAGTTATTTATTATTACATTTCAACAAACAATCTATTGACTTTATCTTGTCAATCAAGGAGAAATCGCAGGTGAGGAGGTGCTTTGTAGTCAAGGGTGACGGGAACATCATTAAAAGCAGCAGCATGCAGTTGTTAGAGTGCATTTATGTGCAAACTAATGCATGCCTATGTTTCCTGGCGATTTGTACAGTTAGAGAATAAAAAGTGTAACACTTGCAAAAAGACTGGTCCCATCTATAAATAATCAGAGATGTGTAGATTTCTTTGCATGAAGTTGAAGTGCATGGAAAGAAGGGGTGAAAAAATGAACTGCGTGGAAATTTGTATCGCATCATTTTTCATTTCACATATGCTTCCCTTTTCGTTTGTCATGTTTTTGTTATTCTTTTTGTTTTGTTCTATCATTTGCTTTTCTTTATTACTTTTCTTTTAATTGCATTGTTCTCTCTTTTCTTCCTCCTTTTCTATTCTGTTCCACCTTTTCTTTTTCTTATTTCTTTCCTTTTTTTTCATCTTGTAATCTTTATTTGTTCTTCCTCCATTTTTGTTCTTCCTTTTGGTCTTTCTTTTTTTCTTTCTTTCTATTTTTCTCCATCATTTTATTTTTTGCTCTCTTTTTTTATTTTACTTTTTCTTCCTTCTTGTTTTGTTTGTTCAGGCTTTTGTTTTCATTCCTTTTCTTTTTTCAGTTTGTTTTCTTTCTTTTTTCTTTCTTTCTTTTTTCTCATCTTTTTGTCCTTTTTCTTCCTGTCTTTTTTCATCACTTTATAGTTTTATTCTTTTTCTTTCTCTTTTTTTTGTTTTCATGCTTTTCTGATTTTTATGCTTCTTTTCTTATTCCTTGTTTTTTCTCTTTTCTCCCCTTTTATTCTTTTTGTCTTTCTTCATCCTCTTTTCCTTTCTTTACATTTTTGTCGTGTATTTTTATCATCCTTCACTTTCTTTCTTTGCTACCAACTTTTTGTTCTTTTCTTTTTCCTTTCCTCATCTTTTTATTTCTTACTTTACTTCCTTTTTTTTTTTCTTTTTAATTCCTTCTTTTTGTTCCTTTGACACCCAGTTTTAATGAGGTTTGTAGAACTGCAAAAGTTTGCCAGGTCAACTTCCCTCAGAATGGAATTTATGTTTGGGCCAAAACAACACACACAGGCTTACAGACATTTGGCTAAAGAAGATAAGCATAGAAACAAGACAAGGAATAAAACATTAAGGAGAGGCAAAAAGAAGAGACAGAAAAATAAGATTTAAAAATGTAAAGAAGAACAAAAGATAGAAAAAGGCTTTATAAAATTAAATAGATGTAAAAGAGAAAAGAAAGAAAAAGAGACGGATATTTCTTAAACATAATTAAGTCTGGCACAAGGTCAAAAGATTAAGGAACTCAGTGTGCACTAAACTCACAAGCAATGAGCTGAGAGACTCTACAATAATAGTCTACACTTATATCAGTCACAAAGTTATAATGGTGGGACACTTAGTGTAGATTACTCTCAAGTTCCAAATACTGGGAAGGATTTGTATAGTCGGAAGGGTTGAGAAAGAAAGAAATGCCAGAATATGAGGTTAGAATTCGAAAAAATCAAAATAAAATCCTGCCCCTAAGGTAATATTAAAATTGTATGTAGTTGTTGTAATGTTGTATTTGTTCAAAATAGCTGAGAATTAGGAAGGCCATAGTTAGAAAGAGTATCAAAGGAATAGAAGACTAGGTAGAGGAAACAAAGAAGAGGTTTATTAGATACTCATACATAGAATGGAAATACTTTAGTAAATCAAATACTACTCAAATCCTTCTCTAATGGGGCTACTTGCCATATTTATAAGTAGAAGCAGTCCATTGTCACAGTAGTAGGGAAGAGCAGGAAGTATGTGGAGTCCTACTCTACAACAGAAATATTAATATTGAAACATGTAGCATTAATATTGAAACATGTAGCATCAATGCTAGAAATAAAGGTAAAAAATAATGAAAATGGATATAGCCGACTTTCCTCATTGTTATTTGTTATGGGGTCCTCCCCTTTTTCATATAAGTGGACTCTACCGGTGTTACTTGGACTGCTGCCGTTAAATACCCAGAGTTAGACAGTCAGTGAGGGAGTGTGTAGAGATAGAAGACTGAGGTGATTGAGTTGGAGGTAGAGTAATAGTGTGAGGTAACCGCTTGTAGAAGTCAGTTACAAGCACGTAGACTCTAAGGAAGTCCTACTTCGAGACTGTATATATCTATATGTTATTGCTACTAACCGCGTTCCTGGATTTACTAACAGTATTACCCTTTGTATTATTGTGTAAATACATTTTATTTCTTATATTTAATTCTTGCGTTTGTCATTCATTGGAGACCGAATTTCATCTCGGAATTCACAACAAATTGGCGACAAGGATTCGAACACACGCGGAAAACAACAAAAGAAAAATATTCCCTCGTCGTCCAACAAGCAAATTGGCTTCGAGCGATTCGAACTCGCACGAAAAGAAGAAATAGAAAAATCCTTCCCTCGTCGTCCAACAACAAATTAGCGATAAAGAGTTACGAGGAGTAAAAATACGTAAAATTAAGTTATCATGGAAGATTTTAAAAATATGTTGGTAGAACTGATAAAATACCAAAATGAGCAACAATTAAAACTACAAGAACGAATAGAAGAAAAATGACAAAAGCAATTAGAAAGACAAATAATATTGAACTAATATTGAAAGTAGCGGGCAACAAGCAATTAGATATTGAAAAAGAATCAACATTTTCGCAAGACGCAGTGTGGAATACCATAGAGATTTTCAAATATTCCCTAGATGAAGACAAAAAGTTTTGGATATTACTTGTCAGTTGACATGAAGATATCTTTAACATAGACTGTCAAAATTGGACAGAAGCAAAAAAAGCTACGTCTATTGCTTAGAAAATTAGGAACTGAAGAATATTGAAAAGCTCGTGGATTATATCTTTCCAAAAGACGAACGAATTAACATTTGACGAAACAGTGACATGTCTTAAAGAACTCTTCAGCCCCAAAAACATCACTCTTCCATAGGAGGTGGAAATGCCTTAACCTGGTAAAAAGGGTGATAATGAGGATTATAAAATGTTTGCCGCAATCGTAAATAAACATCTTGACGACTTCAAACTAGCAGAATTAACCCCGGACAATTTCAAATGTCTCATCTTTGTTCAAGGGTTTATTTCTACAAAAAGATAGCAAAATGCGCAGAAGAATGCTTGCAAAATTACAAAATGAACCGGGTCTAACATTACAGCAATTATCGGAAGATTAAAAGAGATGTCTAGAAACAACAAAAGACGGAAACGACATTGAAGAATCAGCTGTTTCTCAATACAAGAAGTAATTTCTGAACTCATTAAAATCACAACTGGACAAGACGTCAGCAGATTATAATAAAAATGTATAAAAGATGATTAGAAATTCCTTTTATTCTTTGTGCCGTGTCCTTTCAGAACGTTGGCTCTCCATAATTTCCTTTTGTAGCTCTTAGTAAATTTTGTTCTTTTTTGTTATCTCTCCTAAACCCTGTTCTGTCATCCATTTACACAAGTAGGTAGGTTAGGCGCTGTTTTCCTCTGCCATTCTTGCCTTCAATTTATCTTTCGAATATCAAATTTTCCAAGCCCTCTTTCTTCATTATGTGCTCTTAGAAATATTAACTGATGCTAAGTATAAGTGTTCTTTTTGTTTCTATTATTTCTAGAATTTCATCGTATTCAGTCCATGATATTCCCAGCATCTTTCTGTAGAACCACATTTCTGTTGTTTCAAGTCTCTTTTACAGTTGTAAGACATCTTTTCCTTTTTTTCTTTTTTTTAATAGTTTGCTTAGCTTTTGGAAGGCATCTTTCTCTATCCTAATGCGCCTCCTCATCTCGGTATCGCATTTTCCGTCCTCTGTTAAAAAAAAAAACTTCCCAGATATTGAAACGGTTGTACTTGCTTGATTTTGGTATCTCCAATTTTTAATTTGCATGTTGGGCTGTTCCTTTCATGTCAATATGAAGGATATCTAATTTCGTTGTTATTTAAATGTCCTTCCTAGTGGGTAGGTCCCTCAAGGTAGTTGTTAACGGCCAGTCCTCAGACGAAACATTGTAAACCCATCACTGTTCTATAGCGTTTCCGTGGAAAGTGCTCAGATGAACTACATTCCTTATTCCATCAGATCTAACCTTCATGGCTAAGACCTGATAATGTTAGAGTTTTTTTTTAAAATTAACTTCATATTCTGTCAACCATGCAGTCTGTCTTCTTGCAATTGATGTTTAGTCCTTTCTTCTAGCTTTCCTCCCCTACCTTATATATCCTTTCTGTGTATGTTATACCAGTGCTTAAAAGTGATAAAAAAACAACAAAATACAAATTGTTAAGCGACAGCATTTTCTGTAGCGACTCAGGAAATCTATAGTTGCTCTCGTGGAAAATTAGAGTTATTATCGGCTTTCTCTATGATCCAGATTACCGGATTGTTGATAGCCAACTTACATTATGTATTATTATTATTCATTGGTGCAAAAATAATGGAAATTTTAAATAATGTCGTTTTTGACGTAAAAAAAATACACGAAAAATTGACATTTTTACGTCATTATTTTTATCAACCAAATTTAATATTTTTTTTCCGTAATTGTCAATACTGTGTTATAATACTTTTCCTTCGCCCCCTTTCATTTTCTCTTATGGCGCTGTTAATAGACAACGGATGAGACTTCTGTATCTTTCGACTGGCATTTTTAACCATTCTTCGCTGCAGAAT